CTATTTCTGCACACTGAGCAACTGGGTACATGAATAGTAACAAATCAAGGGAGGCCACTGACTGAAACAGCAGCAGTGTCACAGGTGAGTGATGTGAACTGGCAGAGCAGCAATGAGAAGCTTACACAGTGCCTGCCTTCATTATGCTCCAGCCAGGATTATGAAGTCTTTCGCTTTTATGAATACTGAATTCACTCTTTTTTTTTAAGAAGCTGATTCACACAAAGATTTCTTTCACCTCTGGTTTGTTTCCAAGATCTTGAGTTTCTACAAACATTACAAAGTTTAAAGAGAAATGTCTTTTCCAAAAAGAAAAGAGACAAGAAAGTCATGTGGGAAATAAACTCTATTTGAAATGACTATATTACACATTACTACAGAATATATATATATTTTTTTTTAAATCACAATAGGGAACAACTAGATTATTAAAAAAAAAGCTACTTTCAGGGAGGAAAAAACAAAGACATCATAAACTGTTAGCAAAACAAATGGTTTGGTTGTATTTTCAAGCTGTCATCTCAGAGTTTGTTCATATATTTCTTTAAATAGGAAGCTGTGTAATTTTGATAGGTGACCATATTTGGCTACAGCAGCATTACTAGTCCCATTGGTGTTGAGAGACTTGCAATGGCTATGTTAAAAATGGGATGGCCTGCCCTGTGGAAATGACCTCTGGGAGTTGGACCAAGTTCACAAACCTTGTACAGATAGATGACAATTTATAGCGCACTGTGCCAGGTGATGTCTCTGGACTCCATAGAGAATCATCCAAAGAAAGACAGGCACCAGCATTCCCTTACAGTTTGTACTTGGGAAGGAAGGTTGTGCATAGACGAAGCTTGCCTGTCCCTGTTGATGCTGTCCTCTACTAAGCCCAGCCCCCTTGCACAGCCAAGGTGAAGCGGGGCAGGGGTGACTCTAGACCTCCCCCTGACCCTACATCAGCCAGGAGCAGTGGCAGAAGTGGGAAGGGGAGAAGGGATGTGCCTCTGACCACAAAAGAGAAGGGAAGGGGTGCCAAGAAGATCAGAAGGGGTGGCGATTACCAGATTCAGGGTCCTAAAAAGGTCCCCTGTTGTTGCTCCTGTGTTCTAGTCCAGAAAGTAGGTGGTTTGGGGGGGGTGACTGTATGATGATATACTGAGCTAATTGGATAAAGATGTGTATTCTACATGGGCTGTTAGGGGCGCTGTGGAAATAATTCACAAATTTCCTAAAGGGATAGATTTGATCTCAGGAGAATGACTATTTCCAAAGGAGATATTCTAAAGGAGATGGGGAGTAAAACCAGATGGGGAGTAAATAAAAATATGTTCTTGTAGATGATAAGAAATATTCTGGGAAAAGTCAATCGAATAGGGGACAGACTATAGACAAGACTTGTTGGGTACCTTGGGGAAAAACAGAGCAGAAAAAGGACTGCCAAGAAAATGCATATAGACACCAAAAAACTTCCATGTGAGGAAAAAGTGAAAAAGTGAAAAGCTGGATATTTGGAGAGAGAAGATGAATAAGTAACTGATCCAGGGCAGATCCAGAGTGGGTGGGGTGCAGTTGTAACCCCCTTTGATTCCTACTCTACTCAAACTTTAAAACCAACAGCCTGAGAGGAGCAGCAACTTTACAATTCAGGCAACATGGAAGGAGTCAATTGACTTCATGGCTTATTATACTCTACATGAATCATGCTAATCTCTCTTCATTCCATGGGTGTTTATGACCCTCACCTCTTTATAATGGTCTTGGTGTTCCACTGTTCAAACCATCCTTTCTTCTGCAATTTTGCTGTCTGTTAGTCATTCCCAATAATCTCTCTTTCCTCTTTCACAGTCCTGCAGATTGTTTTAGCTGTAGCTAAAAACATTAAATCAGGTGTAGAAATGACTTCCAGTAAAGTACTGGAGGAATTGTCATGACAGTCAAGAAGACTAGATTTTGTTTTATGAATTCGAATGAGAAATACACTTTTAACTATAATGACTACAGAACTAATGAAACTGTATTTTTTACTATTTTTGCTTAGTCTTAGCATTTTTAAAATATATAATTGAGCAGATTAATGAATATTCCAATTAAATAATATTTTATTTTGCTTTGCTGTTAAAATGAATGATAGAATGCTAGGCCCCAACTATGTTAATAAAGCTTCTAGATTCTATTTATCTGAAGAAATGTGTGTGTCATGCTATATGTGATGATGCACCACACCATCTGCACGCCTCCTTTCAAAATCCTAGGTCCACCAATGGAACTGATCAAAATCAATTTTTGATTTCTCCTGTGGATAAGATATTCCATAACTGTCACTGTCAGATTTGTTGCACTATTCACTGAAACAGAAGATACTGGTCACTGGATGCACCACAGGACATTGGATACAGGATGCACCACAGGACATTGCAGTATGGCAATTCATTTCTCCTTGTGAAAAATCTCTCTCACCCAAACATATTTTGACCAGCTCAAATATGGGATACTGGAAAAAAGTAACTGAAAGATCTCTTCCTGCCATGTTCCTGTCATAAACAAAACATACCATATTTACCCAAACCTAAGACGCCCCTGAAATCAAGACAACTCCCCAGTGATTAGATTCTATACATGGAAAGTTAATATTTTGTTATAAGCTTCCATGTATAGAATATAATTATTGGAGGGTCATCTTTGATCCAACCCTCCCACTGCAGAAGGCAGAGGTATAGGAAGGTCAAGCAACTTGCCCCTGCTAGTGCCTGTCCCCTGACACCTACCTGACTTCTCCCACAGCCTCGAGCTCCACCTCACCCTTCTACCTCTGCTCTCCCTCCTGCCTTTCTCTCCAGCATCTGTCCCCCTACTGCCCAGCATCTCTGCTTCCTCTCCCCCTGCCTCTCTGTTCCCCTCTCCCTCTCCTCCCAGCCTCTCTGCTCACCCTTCCCCAGCCTCTTCACCCCACTCCCCCCACTTACCCTTGTTTTGCGCTGGAAGGCTCTATCCCCATGCTAGTACCACAATCTGCAGCATGCACAGAGCCGCTGGCATGGAGCAAGGGTCCGTGGGGAGGAGGGGGGCAGGCAGGGGATCAGAGGCTCTGTGGGAGGGGGAGACCGGGAAAAGAGGCTAGAGGCGAGAGATAAAAGGGTGCAGAGGGCGGCAGGGAGGGAAGGGCAGGCAGGAACTGCCACTACTGCCCTGACTCCAGGTACAGGCTAAAGCCCAAGTCACAGCAGCCACCTGCCCTGCCACTGTCCTTGTACGTGATTCTAAAATGAGGGGCTTTTCCCCCCATGTTAAATGGGGGGAACCTCATTTTAGTAATGAATAAATATGGTAGTCAACAAAAGCAAAAGTTTGGACAAAAAGTGAATTTCTAGTAAAACTGCAAATCATCAGCATTTTTTTAAAGCCAAACTTCCTGAAAAGCCTCTCATTTAAAATAAGACATGGCATATGTTATTTAAGGAAGAACAGCTTCTTTTCTGGACAGATGTAGTAAGAGGTTGAAAACCACTTATATAACAGAAGCCAGTTATAAATATTGAGCAACTGCTTCCATTCTTCCTAGGAAGCATTTAAACATCTATGAGAAATATATATTTTTTAAAATTTTAAATCCCTTGTTAATTATTTCTTGTTTCCATTGATGACCAGATAAAGGCAAAGTTGGATATTACACATTCTGGGCCAGATCCGCAGCTAATGTAAATTGTTTTATATTGTTTGATTTTAATATATCAACGGTTATAACCTCCTGCAAGGCCGATTCAGGCTGGACATAAGGAAGAACTTCTTTACTGTCCGAGTCCCCGAGGTCTGGAAAGGCCTGCCACCGGAGGTGGTTCAAGCACCTACTCTGAACGCCTTCAAGAGAAACCTGGATGTTTTTCTTGCTGGGACCCTATGACCCTAGCTCACTTCCTGCCCCTGGAGCAGGGGGCTGGACTTGATGATCTTCCGAGGTCCCTTGCAGCTCTAACGTCTATGAAATCTATGAATGTAAACTCTACCAGCTTACACTACCTAAGGATCCCTGCTTCTATTTAGATACAGAATGGCTCCATAACGATAAATAGGAGAGAGATCTACTGGAAGGAAATAAACATAGTGTCTTCCTTTTTTGATACTGCTGAGAAGTGTTCAGAGTCATAAATGCTGGTCTCAGGACAAGGTAGCTGCTAAAGAATTGGAGGGTTGTAAGAGACTCCCAGAGGTCCTTTAGTCCAACCCCCTGCACAGATGTAAGATTGATCATCCTTCATATATATCTGAAATATTCTTTACCTTATTAGGAATGTATTCATGTCAGCGAAACCTTTGCTGCCCTTTCAAAGCCAGTGGTGGGGGGGTTGGAT